GTTTTTGGGGGTCCCTGACCCCGTGTCCCGCAGGGGGGGTCCCCAGAGGGGGGGTCCCCAGAGGGGGGGTCCCCCGAACAGGAGGGGTTCTTCTCGCTGCTGAGCTCCGTGCAGGGCACGCGCATGGACGAGCAGCGCTGCAGCCTCGGCGGGGGCGGCGGTGAGCGGCACCGGGACCCCGGGACACCGGGACACCGGGACACCGGGACAGCGGGACACCGGGACACCGGGACACCGGGGGGACACCGGGACACAGGGACAGCGGGGGGACACCGGGGGACACCGGGACAGCGGGACACCGGGACACCGGGGGACACCGGGGGACACCGGGACACAGGGACAGCGGGGGGACACCGGGGGACACCGGGACAGCGGGGGGACACGGGGGGACAGCGGGACACCGGGACAGCGGGACAGCGGGACACCGGGGGGACACCGGGACCCCGGGACACCGGGACCCCGGGACACCGGGGGGACACCGGGACACCGGGGGGACACGGGGACAGCGGGACACCGGGACACCGGGGGACACCGGGACCCCGGGACAGCGGGGGGACACGGGGGGGACATCGGGACACCGGGGGGAACATCGGGACACCGGGACAGCGGGACACCGGGACACGGGGAGACAGGGGGACAGCAGGGGGGACACCGGGGGGACACCGGGACACGGGGGGACACCGAGGGGACAGGGGGACAGCGAGGGGACCGGGACACGGGGGGACACCGGGGGGACACCGGGACACGGGGGGACATGAGTGGGATACCGGGACAGCGGGGACACACCGGGACACGGGGGGACAGCCGGACACCGGGGGGCGGCACGGGTGAGGGACACGGGGGGAACACGAGGCACGGGTGGCACGGGTGGCATGGGTGGCACGGGTGGCACGGGTGGCACGAGTCTGGGGACACGAGGAGGGCGGGGCAGGGGCTGGGTGGGTGCTGGGGACACCCCCGGTGCCTCCGGTACCCCCGGCGCCCATGGGTGCCCCCGGCACCCCAATGCCCCTGTCACCTCCGTCACCCCTGGTGCCCCCGGCGCCCATGGGTGCCCCTGTCACCCCCGGTGCCCCCGGTTACCCCGGTGCCCATGGGTGCCCCCAGCGCCCCTGTCACCCTGGTGCCCCCGTCACCCCCGGTTACCCCGGAGCCCATGGGTGCCCCCGTCACCCCCGGTGCCCCTGGTACCCCCGGTGCCCGTCACCCCCAGTACCCCCGGTGCCCACGGGTGTCCCTGTCACCCCGGTGCCCCTGTCACCCCCGGTACCCCCGGTGCCCATGGGTGCCCCCGTCACCCCCAGTACCCCCGGTGCCCATGGGTGCCCCCAGTGCCCCGGTATCCCCTGTCACCCCCGGTGCCCCCGGTGCCCATGGGTGCCCCGTCACCCCCAGTACCCCCGGTGCCATGGGTGCCCCCAGTGCCCGTATCCCCTGTCACCCCCGGTTACCCCGGCGCCCATGGGTGCCCCGGTCACCCCCGGTGCCCCTGTTACCCCCGGTGCCCATGGGTGCCCCCAGTGCCCCGGTATCCCCTGTCACCCCCGGTTACCCCGGAGCCCATGGGTGCCCCCGTCACCCCCGATGCCCCTGTCACCCCTGGCACCCCCGGTGCCCCCAGCGCCCGTCACCCCCGGTACCCCCGGTGCCCATGGGTGCCCCCAGCGCCCCTGTCACCCCGGTGCCCCCGTCACCCCCGGTTACCCCGGTGCCCACGGGTGTCCCTGTCACCCCTGGTGCCCCCGGTACCCCCGGTGCCCCCGGTGCCCATGGGTGCCCCGTCACCCCCGGTATCCCCTGCCACCCCCGGTACCCCCGGTGCCCATGGGTGCCCCGTCACCCTCGGTACCCCCGGTGCCCATGGGTGCCCCGTCACCCCCGGTGCCCTGTCACCCCGGTACCCCCGGTGCCCATGGGTGCCCTGTCACCCCCGGTACCCCCGGTGCCCATGGGTGCCCCGTCACCCCCGGTGCCCCCGGTGACGGCGGTGCCCGCAGGCGCGGGGGGCACGGTGCCACCCCCCGAGCTGGCCTCGCTGCTGGACATGGTGGCCAGCTCGCAGGGCCGCAGGATGGACGAGCAGCGGCTGCCGGTGCCCCGCCTGCCCGGCTTCGGCTCGGGGGGCACGCAGGTGGGCACCGGG